CTACACTATAAAGAATATGCTATGCACTATAAAGAATGTGCTATGGATGATTGGATCCTAAACATTGGTAAATGATGCTTTGCAAAAATTTTGTATATTCAGGATTTTGTAAGAAAAATATTTCAAAAAGTAATGAAAAACAGTGAATGCATGAACTACAGAATTAATGGATAGCATACAACATCATAAATTAAATTAGTATTTGTTTTGAATTGCTGATGTATATTTGCAACCCAAAATGAAAAACCAATAAAAAGTAGTACGTAAAGGACTTGAGATGTTACCAACACTTTTAAAACCAATTGATGTTAAAAGAAGTAGTACACACATGACCTTGGCTCCAATACCATTCTAAAATCAATTAGTGTTAAAAGAAACACATACTCTTGCCTTATAGTGTATTCAGCACACACAAGCACCCACGACATTCAAGTGTGACTTGGTTCTTATAGCCTCTGCCACGGAAATCAAACTCGTGACCTTGACTCCAATACCACTTATAGGACATCAGACGCCACCAAAATTTTTAAAACCAGCTGGTGTTAGAAGAAATACATACCTTAGCCTTATAACGTATTCAGCACACACAAACGCGCACGGCATTCCAGTAGTGTGACTTGATTTACATACTCTTCGTCATGGTATAATTGATGTACGCATGACTAACACTAGGAACCATTGGCAAAAATAAAAATAAAGCAGCAGCACAACAGTCTGGCAGCATGTGTGGTTCATACTAGTTTATGCCTTTTTTTTCATATGGTTTATTTCCTTGTGTTCAAACTGGTTTGCATATGGTTTGCATGTGCTGCACCATATTGTTTTGAAAAAAATTAATCAGAGTGTATAGTCAAATTAATCAGAGTAATCTGTGTTCATATGGTTTGCAAAGATTCTTCAGAAATTCATTCTTTCTCTTCAAACAACATGTGAAATATATAACATAGTGTGTAATCTTCTTAGGGATGAAGGTACTGTTATTTCTTATTATTACTCCATATTATTATTTGTAGGGATAAAGTTTTACTAGGTCCCGATATATTTTTAAAAGTGCTTTAAAGTCTCCAAATTATATTAAGTGTTTGTCATCAGGTCCCTATATTTTCTAACGGGAGCACATATAGTCTCTTTGGTGACTTTCCGCCAAAACTCCGGCATATCGTCCATTTTTCTTTATGAACTTTTTTTATTTCTTTTTTGCCCTTCACGTATTAGATCTCAATATTTTTTCAAGAATGCTCCCTAGATCCCTATGCATCTTGAGTCAAACTAATTATATTTTCTATTTTTTCAAAAAATGGAAAATGGATGAAATATCGTTCTTTAAAAATACTACCTACGTCCCGCTATATTCGTCCACTATTGACTTTTGGAACTGTTCATCTAAGCACTTTGACTCATCAAATTCTCTCAATGTGTAAACCTAAATATAGTCATGTGTGATCTTGTTTGATTTGTCTTAACATATAGATTATTAATATATAATTTCTATAATTTTTTAATATACAAATTACAAGATAAAATGGATTAAAGAAGTGTATTGGATAGTGTGTAAAAATGAAAGTGGACAAATACTCTGAGACGGAGAGAGTATATGTTATGTCGGAGATTGGGATAAAAAAACTGTAAGAATTACTTATGCACCGGTCAAAAAGTATAGAGATCTAGGGAGCATTTCTGTATTTAGACTCATAGCCCAACCTACAAACAGCTAGGGAGGCACAAGTTTAAAAAAGGATGAGCCACATCCTCATGGCCCCTCAGGCCCGGCCGGACGTTCACTGAGAGAAGGTAAATTAGACTTTAATCGTAGATTGGCGAGAGACACAAGTTTAAGAGTGTACATGTAGGAGTCATGCCCAATGGGAGGCATTACATGTGTTTTTCTATTATTCATCTTCAATTTTAAGATATTAGAAAAAAAGCCTAAAATTTAGAAAACTATTCTATAATCGGTCATTTTAATCACATTTGGCGTAAATGTCTATTTTTGAAATAATTTTTAAATTTTAAATCCTGTAAATAGGGATCATTTGTAAAATTTATGAAATTGTAAAAGGAAACAAATTATGAATTAGGCAACAAGTGGGATGAATTGGTATGACTATGACATTAATACTTGATATACACATATTTTTGTATAAATATATAGGAAGTAAAAGGGAATGCACGCAAATATAATGTGGATGTGCTTTTGGCGTTACATCAATGTGCCATTTCAACTAATCATATATATGGATAATGCATACATACATATAATCCCTTCATCCCAATTTGATTACAAATAAAACTTTACGAGAAAAAAATTTCATTTTTTAAAATTATTTTATTTACAAATCGGTATATTAATAATGAATACAAATTACATATTAAAAAATTACGTCTAAAATTCTTTAAAAAAGATGTGAAAAAAATATTTTATTTTATCAAATATTTAATAAAATCACGTAAATAAACAAAAGTTATCGAGAGGAGATCAAAAAATTGTAATCAAAATCAAAATGGGGACGATGAGAATATGTGTGTGTGTGTGTTTGGCACTTTGGCTCAACATATTTGGTCTATCCTTATCAACATTTACTCACTAATCGGATAAGTTTAACACAATAATGTTACGTTACGTTGGATGCACTTATTTCACAATCTATAGTAGTTGCCACTTGACAATACATAATGTTTCATTTTATTTTTGTTATATGTATCTATAGTTTAGGCTCTAATTTTATATATCTTAGATTTTAGATCCTTAATTATCTGATTATTATCTCACCTTTTTTTACTCCATATCGAAGTATAGAGAAGTTTGTGGTTACAAGCTCAGAAAATATTAAATACGGAGTACATTTTAACATGACTCACGTGCATACGAGAGTACCAAATTTTGTGGTCGTTTCTAACTTCACAGTGAAACTAATTTTTAAAAAAATTAAATAACGGTGAGGTTCGAACTAGTGACTTTTTGGGCGACAAAACTTTAATGCCATATTTAAAAAATCACCTCAAATAAAATTTTAAATTTATGGTTGAAAGTCCACAAAGTGCTTTATATTCTAAGAGAAACAAACAAGTTGAAAATCCATTTAGGAGGTGATGGATTAAATGATTATTAATTAAAAATGGTTCACTATTTTGTTCTAAAGGCCACACAGTTTTTTACTTTGTTAAGATCAGAAGAAAAAAATTTCTAAGCCTTTGTCTATTTCTTTCTCATTGTATCAATTTCTCATGTCCCCATTTGTCTATTTCTCATTGAGCAGCTGTTTGTAGCATCCTTTTAATAATACAAATAAATTTTACATTAAACTAGCTAGATATTTCAAAGAGATAAATATACACAGTAAAATACTAGTATAAAGGAGACTATAATTAACTTTAAGTTTGTGATATAATATTAACTACGTAGTAGTTTATATTATCCATAACGAAAGGAATATATATCAAAGATGCACAGTAAAATATAAAGTAGAATGTAATTAACTTTTGAGTTTGTAAAATACAAAGTACTAGAATGTAATTAACTTTTGAGAAAGAATAGTCAAAAAGGTGAATAATAGAGACGAAAAGGAAAAAAAAGCAGAAGAAAAAGTTAACGTCATATGGCATATGCTTCTTTTATGATTATGTTTCTGGGCGTAATTATGCGACCAATTTTTTTTAAGGATATCTAACGTAGGAACATATTTTGTTGGGTTTCAAATTGCTTTTCTGGCGTTTAAAAAAAATCTGTTTCGGTTGTTTTTTTCAATGATTTTAAAGACGTTGAAAATCTGGCATATCTAAAAAGTTAAAGCAGACCCATTGAAAGTTGAAACCATTAGCTGAATTGTTTAGAAAAAGAAAAGGAAAAAAAATCACCTCGAAGATTCTTTGGAACGTTAAATAGACAATAGTTATCTCAAACTCAAAGAAAGGTAAAATTGTTATACTCAAACTCAAACTCAAAGTTATACTCCCTCCGTCCCAATTTATAGTGCATGTTTCGGTTTACGATGTTTGACTGAAATTATTTTCAAATCATTTTATATGACAAATGATACAGATTTAAAAAATAAAAATTACATATTAAAATATTATATCAAAAGATCTACAAAATTAGTAGTGACAATAGTCCTTATTTTATCAAATTGTAAACAAAAATAAAGAAAGAAAGTGAATGAAATTTGACCATATGAATAGTGAACAAACATTATAATTTGGGACCGAGGGAGTAATTCTTTTTTTCGAAAGTAAAATCATAATCTTAATCCGACAATTAAGGAACAAAGTTTGTGCTTCATGCTATAGATGGTCGCTCTTCATTGTCGTTGTCACTAGTGAAGGTTTGGATCGATCTATGGAATAATAAAGGAAAATCTAGCTAGAATTAGAAGGTGCACTATTACGGAGAAAAACAAGTTATAGTGCGAAATTACACCAATGAACAATGTAAAATGCCAACACATGATGAAAAATTGAAAGCTTTTTACATTGCCAACACTCTTATTTAACACGAATAAAACATAAGCCTTACCCCGTATTTTGGTACAAGTTCTTTGTTTTAGTCTTGTTTAGATAGTTTTTTCTTAATAACCAATGTGGGCGTTGAAGATATAACATCACATAGAATACTCACCTACAAAACACTAACATATACTCCCTTCGATCCAATTTAAATCATCTGTTTTGATTTACGATGTTCCACTAAAAGTTATTAAAAAATAAAATAAAATTAAAAAAATAAAATTAAAAAAATAAAATTGGAATAAAATTAAAAAAATAAAATTTACATATTAAAAAAATCACATGAATAGTTTTACAAAACAAGAGGTGAGATGATTATATTAATTTATCAAATGAGTCATGAAAATAAAAAAAATGTGAAATTTGACCATATGAATAGCAAACATGCAACTTAGTTTGGAACGAAAAGAGCAATACAAAGTAATATGATTTACTCTCATTATCAATTGATTTTGTGTTCGAATCTCACAATTCTACATGGTATCAGAGTCCACTCTTAGAAGCTTGAAAATCATTCGAGCTAAGATAAGTTCACCTCTAATATTACACAAACACAATTACTCCAACTTCCAAAGTTGATCATATATTAATACTCTCTGTATGTATTGGTTTCTAACCCCTTCTTCTTCAAGCTGGTCTTTAGACAGGCATTGCTAACACTAACCAAGATGAGAGGTTACACAGGGAAATGCAAAAGGGAAAAGAAGAAGAATAGTTTACCCTTTGTTTTGCTTGACAGAATATTACAAGGAGTGAGCAATTCTAGAACCCTCCAGCTGGGTCAATGCGATTCTAAAAGGAAGTTCGTGGCTGCATTGACATCGTTCCTGGCGCGTATCAGTGCCTGCCTTGCTGAGTTTCTGTCGAAGCCCATTGATACGAGCGTGGCTATGGATTCCTCCGGTGGCTCCGCTCCAGAAGATGATGATGGAGGGGGAGGAGCAGGATGGTTACCCTGAAGCCAAAACAACAAGACAGATGGGGTGGGAAATAAGAGCAGAATTCATCAGTTATTGGAAGTCCAAGATGGCTTGGGAAGGAAATTTGGATGTGAAGAAATGTGGGACAAGATGAAAATTTCATGTAAACTCTGTATGTAAAAGTTCATGTCAATACTCCAAGAAAATTGAGATTTTTACAAGAATAACGATATTCCAAGAGAATTTTTAGTTTACAACAACAATCCTAGTAAAATCTCACAAAAAGTAGGGTTTGAGAAGGGTGTGTAAAATCCCATCTTAGACCCACTCGAAAGTAGAGAGACTATTTCCAAGAGACACCCGGCTCAAACACAGACGGACAAATGCAGTAGCATGAACAAAATAAACACAACAGCACCAAAAATATAAAAAAACAAATTAAGAGCACAGAGACAAATGACTTCAAAATTTGGACAGCATTGTANAATTAGGCTATTATTTTAACGCTTACCCCAATTTGGCGGCCAACAAAGGATAGTGGTGTGGGTCCTGAAACATTCCTTGGTGTTGTTGATGGTGTACTCCGTATGGATGACCAAGAGAGTTGAGAGAAGAAGGAAGCAAGAAAATCTGGAAACTGTATGAAGAAAAACATATTCACCATAAGCAATGCAATAACAAAATTACAGAATAAAGATAAAGAATATGAGGCCGTGTTTGTACTGAAAAACACAATAAAAATATATTAAGTAAGCATACAGATTACATTAACAAAAATTTTAGGAAAATATTTCACCAAATATGAAATGCAGAGTCCAAATTTTGCACTGAGCAAATAAATTCAGTTTAGATTCGTATAAAAAGGCAAAATATACCGTACACCCCGATGCACCTAATTTCGTGTATATCCAATGAGTATTATGTAACTCGTAAATGTGCATACACCAATGTTGTATTGTGCACGGTCTGAATATGTATAAAAACAAATAAATGTGCATTTGTTTTCAATTTCATTTTCACGAATTCATCTACATATATGGATTTGAAGTGTTATTATGACAGAATGAAAAAAAATAACGAAATGAGAAATGTACAATTATTGAATGTGCATACATCAATTTCATACATGCATGCATTAAGTATATGCAAAGAAATAAAAGCAAAATGAATAATGGGTAACTTATAAATGTGCATCCGAATGTACAATAAACAAATAAACACCGTACATCCGGATGTATAATATAGGAACTCGTGGAAAGAGGTATGAGTGTATGACATACTAAGAGGGCATTCAGAACATAGGTTCATGCTAGCAATTCATAAAACCCACAAGTGCCAGCAGCACATGTTTTAGAGCCTGTTTGGATAACTTATGGCTCAAGTGTTTATTTGGCTCAAGTGCTTTTATCATAAGGTATCCAAGCACTCAAAATGTTTTTTTCTCAAAAAAGAACCAATCTGCTGCTTTTAAAAATAAGAATTAAAAGTGTTAACTGTTAATTATCGCTACAAGCTATTCTAATTTTTCCTTCCAAGGGCTTTGTATGTTATTAAACGTGCTTTTCTACCTCTAAATATCACTTATTACTTGGAAATAAATCAAGAGTAATGAAGGTTGGATAATAATCACCGGCTAAAAAACTGATCTAAACTAGATTAAAAGCTGCTATTTTATGCAGTACCTTCACCCCTCGAATGCGAAAAACATTCATTCGATATAAGCAACCAGCAAGAATTCCACACACACCAGGTAGAATTGATCTTTTCCAGGAAGAAAAAAGAAGCTGCAAAAAAACAGTTCAAATGACAAACATTACAAGAAAACAAACGGGAAACGTTTCCTACAGGTTTCAGAAAGAGAATAATGATGCACAAAGAGTTACCTGAAGGCCGGCTAAATAAATAAACACCTTATCAGAGAAGTGGAGGTTAAACACACGGAAGCGTGTCGTAACCGGTATGTCAAGATAAAAGGGTACAAATGATGAAAATATTAAACCGTAGGGCCCAGATGCAAGTACGTTCAATGAAGGATCTGCAAAATCAATATGTACATTACTGCCAAAAACTTGTGACTTCATTTTAAATAAATAAAGAAAACAAGTGAGCACCATTAAAATATATTGTGATATTACATAAACTAACCCCAACAGAAGTTACTTTGTCAAAGAACATAAAGGACATCAAGGAAGACAACATCAACATAAATTACTAAGGGCCTGCTTGGAACATGAAAATGCTAGGGTAGTAAAATACGGAGTATATAAGAAATTTGATAAGAAATAAAATTTAGGAGGAAATAAAGACTTGTAAAATATAAGTATATGTTGAGTTTTTAGAAATATACTTATATACCCAAAATTTATTTTTCGAACCAAACATAAAAAGTAAAAAAAAATTCTTTAAAGTTTTTGTTTTTCCACTCCCTACCATTTTCTGCATTCGAAGCATATAGCCTAAATAAGCCGGGAGAGTGACTGTTTGAGCAAAACACCAGATTGAAAAAGTCCACAAGACATGTGTGTGAAGTGGAGTGAATTAGTACTATGTTAATTTAAGATGAACAAAACTCAAAGCATACCCTTGAGAATTTTTAATCCAACAACCTCTAGCAGAAAAGAAACTACCACAGAGAACAGGATGAATATCTGCAAGAAAGAGATATACATACCTATCAAAACATAACAGAGAGATAGAAATACTAGAAACCAAAAATCAAGCCACAGGTAAGAATTATGTCCACTCCCACCCGACCCCCCACACCCGCCCACTACCCAAAAGGTTAATTATCTTCGAAAAAATTTCTGATATACTTCACGTTAATCACGTTATTCAGATAGACCCATTTAATAGAAGATTTATGTATGTCCATTTAATATGAGCTTCTAAAAGCAATATGCTAAATAAGTACTCCATAGCTCTCTTTGATATTTTTCCCATTCAGTACAAGTTTTAGTTAGATTGTGTTAACAACAAAATGAATATGTTATGAAATGAAATAACAGGCTCCTGCTTCGGCATTCTAATTATGAATCGATAAGATGTCAAAATCTCATGTAAAACTTACAGAATACTTATTTGAACCAATTTGCCGTTCAAAGACACGGAAGTAATAGAGAAGGTATGCTCCAAATACTAGTTCTGGGGTAGATGAAAAGGAAAACACCGATACAACTAGCTTCCAAAGTTGGAGTTTCTTGAAGATGTCCTGTCACATAAGAAACAAAAGGCGAGAAGTGAAAACATGAAGATTTTCATTTTATGTTAACAAACCAAAAGTGATATGGATTTTTTGGGTATTGGAAAAATGCTCTCGCCAATGCCCTCATAAATTAATCGCAATAAAAACTTTATCACAATTAGCTATCTAACCAATGCCCTCGGGGCTATCCTAATAGTATGGTATGATTCTAAAAGATTGCGGTCCATCAGAAATAGTCTCTCTAGTCTCCACCCTTAACAACTAAAGAACCAGAGGTAAGGTCTGTGTACATCCTATCCTCCCTACTCGGAAGCAGAGAGGCTGTAACACCTGCTCAAACACAGTAATAAACCAGGGAATGTAAAAAACAGTGCATCATTAAAAAAAATCCAATTGTTTTATTTTCTCAAATGCAGAACGAGGCAAGCATTCTACCAAAATGATCTCTCAAAGGACTGGTTGTATACAGAGAGGAGAAATCAATGAACAGCAGGGGAAAAAAACCTGATAAGACCATCCAAGCTTGTTAGCACGGCCTTGAATCCCAAAAGCTATCGTGAAGAGGGCACAAGCTACCACCAAAGCTCTCGTCGCCGGCGCATTGTCTATATCGCATAGTGAACGAAAATGGATTAGAGAAATGGAACGATCGGGTAAAAACAGGGGGGCGAGCGGCCACGACGGAGATCGGGAAATACGTACTGAAACCAGACGGGCCGCCGTTCATCTCTGCAGTGAACCCCGACGACCTAGACTGAGGTCACCTGCAGTTACTGTATTTCTAATTCTGTGCTATTCCTTCCTCTTTCCCAATATGTACAATTCTGAACTGCATAATCTCTGTTTCTCCTTCCAATTCAAGAAATTTGCATTCTTCTGGAAATCTCTCCCCGATGGGGTCCGATTTGGGGGGTTTGCTGAAACGGGTCGGGTCTACCTCGGTTGGATCTGCCTGAATTTGTCTTGGCCTCTTACCTTTCTTTAGCTAATTTTTTGGACTCTTATTTGATTGTTTGAGTTTTTTGTTTTCTTTCAAAAATTGAATGATGCTAATAAATTCATTCTATTTATAAGAAATGGACATTTTTGTCATTTTACTATGTACTCCTTTCTCATACGTCACACTGCTTCTGTTACAAAAAGAAATTTCTCTTTTCATTTTTTGCAAATGTTGTGTGGTTCATCATTTTTCTCTCTCTTCTGTATAATTTTAATCATACAATTTTAAATTTCTTAAACTCTGTGTCTAACCCAATTAGGAATCTTTTTTAGAGGCAGAAAGTATCAAGTATTAAAGATAAACCTGTCTATCTGACACAAAAAGATACAAAAAAAGTAGATATAACTACATATAAGGTGAATTTAGTAATAACCTAAAAATTTTGTTAATGAAATAAACTATGGAGTAATAAATATAGTGCTATCTGCACATGCCTAAAAAAGTTGCTATGATAAAAGTAACTAACATTGCCCAAAATTTAACAGGAGTAGGTATTTGTAATAATTAACAATTTTTACCAAACAAGCGATGACATGAATATTTATATTATGAAATAATTGGTGAAAATAATAAAACAAAGTAAATAAAATTTAGCTTTGTAAATAGTGCACGGAAAGAACATCTGCGGAAATAAGTTCTGTCACATATCTCTTTTCTTGTTTATTATTACGGTCTCCCAATAACTTATATTTACATGCATGTTTTCATTGACCATTTGATAAAATAAAATATTTTCATCACATCTTATTTTGTAAAACTTTTAATATAGATTTAAACATTGTAATTTTCATCTTTTTAAATAAATTTTACTATATTTTATACAATTTCATATTTAACCTATTTAATTCAATCTTCCACTACCGAGTATAATTTAACTAAAAATCTTTTCCCAATATATATTACGGAGTAAATTAACTTTGATAATATATTTTTAGATTAAAAAAATCAAAAATATCTAATTTCAAATTTTTTCCCTCACCCACTCGAGAATAGTTTGAGAATTCAATCCAAAATAGTGGAAAGCAATACTAGCAAAATTCACATGAAACAAGAGAAATTAGTGCACATTTGGTTGGTTTTAACCTGATATGGAAACCATTATTAGCACAAAGATCACATGAAACAATGGAAACCTAGTAAACTAACTAGCAAGGATATACCAAATTATTGTTTCTAATACTCACTAAATACTGACATTAAGGATCATTGATGACCTAAACCAAGGGCTTGGAAGATTTGGTGACCCCATAATATCATAACTTAATCCAACTTTGATGAGGTTGCTTCCCGGCTCGCTTTAACATATGCATGCAACCAGCCGCGGTGAAAAGTCCAAGAGCCCCCAATGCTATAGCGGTTGAGTTTTCAATGTTATGGTAGTAACCTCGCTGCAAAACAAATGGATTAGTGACGATAAACGAAACCAAAATGGAATTTAGTTGTGATTTGTAAAATGGATAATTTCCTTTGAACAATCCATACTTGCACAAGGAAGAAGAAGAGCGCGGCATTTGATGGTGCCAGAGATAAACTCATCATGCCTGCACGAAGTTCGTTTGGTACAAACCTGCAGTAGTAAATTGAATTCTGCATCAAGGTCAAATCTTGCAAGGGTCTTTTAGGAACTCGAAAGATGATACTAGGAAAGAAAATAGAAATGAAAAAGAGGGAATTTGGATGGGGATAAAAGGAGGGGAAAATATTAAAAAATCAAGACAAGAGAAAAAACATGTTTTAATGAACTTTCATTTTTCTTCATGTTTTCCGAGGTAAAACCAAACCAAAAAATAATAATTTTCATTTGCACTTCTTTCTCTTATCTAACCATTTTTTGACTTCCAAACATAACCTAAAGAAAAACAACATAAAACAGTCCAATACCTTGAGATTTGACCAATAGTGTTAAAGAAGAAGAAGAAGATAGATATGTCACTTACATTGTTCTTAATCTGGCAAGTGAAGGCAAAACCAGTCCCAAACAGGCGTGATATAAGCAGAACAGTATCAAAAGCATTTCAATTTCCTGCAATTAAATCACAAGTATGAATGCTGCTAAAGGAATTGTTCCATTTCAATTAAAAGCTATAGTTGATAGTTGGACTTCATATTCATTATTCAAATTACAGTATTACATTCTTGGATGGGTGCCGATGTCCCCCACTCCACCCTAGCTAGCATTACAGGCCTTTTATAGTTCACCCAACCACAATATAATATGGTGATTTTCCCAACCTTATTGCCTAAGTTTTAGGCTGAGTCCTGGCACTCGTATTCTACAGCTTTTATATGGTGGGTGGAACATGATCCCTTTTTAGATGTAGCCTGTAGGATACTTCAACGGATGTCAAGTTTGGGGTCATTCGTGGGTGTATGTGTGCGTTGTTAGCCATTCCACATTGGTCAAATATAAAAATATAAACCAACATATAATGCATTAGAGTTTAAGGTTGATTTTTTAGGATGGAACGCCAAGTATTAATACATATGAGGTATTCAAGGAAAGAAAACATGAAGATACCTGGTAGTCATAAGCTATGATTGACATAAGAGAGCCCATAAGAATAAAAGTGAAAACCAAGTATTCCTCGGTTCGAAGTGATAATGGTCCGTTGAACCATGGAAATGCAGAGCTTCCAAGCATTTTTGCACCAAGGAGACAAGGGTACACCAAACCTAACACCATCTCCCTCCCATCACCCTATTTTAATCACAGCAATAAATTCACTAGCAAGTCAAGAAACAAATCGAGAGAATCCCAATTCCCAGCTCTATTGAATGTATACCACTATAGTTGGAGCCCATAGAATCCAGAAGACTACACTTGAGAAGTGAACACAAGCTTGCACCCATGAAAGCAACCATATTCTTCTATCTAGCAGACCATAAAGCCATAAACAATTCATCACTAATAAAATCTTGTCGACTTTTTATAAATTATGAAGTATAAAGAGCAATGTGCTTCCTATGCTCCTACTGTTTATTTAATTTAAATTGTGGATATTGTTCTTTTTTTGTTGATTCATACTTCCTCCGTTCTTGAAAGGTTGAAACATAGGCTTTGGCACAAAAAAATAAGGGAAGAAATCAATTGATATTTTTCCCCTTTAGTGATAAGGAGAGAATAATAAAAACATTAGTGATGGGAAAGTAGGGGTATTGTAGTTCAAGGATTTTCATTACTCAAAATAGTAATGCTGCTAAAAAAAATTTAACATCCTAAAATCCTACTTTTTTTTAGTTTCCTAGGCCTCATAGAAACAGACTCTACCCAGACCCTACTTTGGTTTGGTGTAGTTTTCTTAGGCTCCGTTTGGTAGCGATAATCAGTTTATTTTGTTAGCAACATAAAAAGCTAAATATGTAGCTTTTAAATGCTTAGAGCCCATTTCATAAGCATTCTTTTGGCTTATCATTTCCCCCAAACGGAAAATGCCAACTTAATTCATATTTTCATTGTGCTGACTATCTGAGCCATTATTGGAAAAAGTAGTGCAGAAGTCACTCTTTTGTTGCTGAAATGACTAAAACTCAATCAAATTTACCTTAATTTTTTATATTATATGATTATTATTTAATTTATATAAGAAACATATATGAAATAGTTTCTAAGATAATTCAGCCACAACTTCACGTTGAGTCACTTCAGCCATTTTAGACCTTACCAAATGGGCTCTTAGTTGGATGAAATGTATGTGACTAAACAGGCCCTTGCATGCTAAATGTATGTTACTAGAGCTTTTCAAGAGAAAGGTAAAAGAAAAATTATTATTATAACAATAATAAGATAAAAATCAAAATAATAATAATAATAAATATCTCATACCCATTAAGATATATGAATGGAATTTAATTTTATAATCTTCAAATTTGGTAGCTCTTGGGAATTCTTTCAACCTTTGACTTGCATATATCAAAGCAACCAACGATAGTATTGCAGCAGCAGTGGGAAGTAAGTTAACAGTTGACCCTTCAGTACCACCAATGAGCCAATTCCCGAGCACTTGGCTAACAATGAAGGATGCAGATTCATAAAAGGACATTAGCCAAAACATGTCATTTAATGCATCACGCCTCAGACCTTGCTACAAGTAAGCATGATTAGTTTGTCATTAGCTTCTATTAAAGCATCAAAAAGCAATATAAATGATAAACATTAGGGATACATTTGGTACTTGTTTGTTTGACAGAAATGACTGAAGCTGCTGCATTTTCACAAAGGAAAAGGGTTTGGCAACAATCAACATCTATTTCAGCAAAACAAGTAAAAGCTCCTTAGAGCCTGTTTGGTAAACCCATTTTTGACTTATCCCCTTGCTTGTTGAGTCATGACTAATAGAAAAAAAGTAGTTAATTAAATACTTTTAACTTGAAATAGATAAAATTAAAGCAAATGGCTATTCTACCTTCACTTATAGACAATGTTTTCTTAGAATTATTTGATAAATGTATTCTTAAACAATATTTTAGATCATTTAACAGATTCAACTGATTCAGCCATTTTAACCACAAGTTTAACAGATTCAGTCATTTTAATTATTACCAAACATGATCTTATTTTGCTTAATCTATTTGTTTAGCTCATAAGTAGAATAAGCTGAATAATTTGAGTATGGCTACAAAATGGAGCCTGAAATTGTACAATGCACTAACAACTGGCATATGTATTGACACAAACCTTTTCAAGCTCAACTACCATCTGTGTTTCGAAATTGAAGTAAAATATTGAAGATGCGAGAGATAGGCAGATACTGGATATCCAAATGCTAGGATTTGCAATAACTTTCCTCCAAATAACTACAAAGAGGTGCAGCATGAAAAATAACAGACACAACCTCCTTTGACCACTGCAAACACAACCATAAAAATTAAAAACAACTGCAAGAAAACATCAAACACATTTTGTTTAAAGAAATTGGTCATTAATAACTTTAAAAACCCACAATATCTATGAACTTCAAAAGGTTGAATTTCATTCAGGGCCCGTTTGGAATCGAGAAAATACTACTGTAAGAGAACATGGAGTAAAACTAGATAGAAAGAAAATTCAGGGAAAAAACTAAATAAATGTGCAAAAACTTCAAGCTCAATAAGTTTATTTATGATACTCAGGTATTTGTTAAAAAATTATGTTGTTTATTTATTTCTATTATCTAACTAAGAAAATTATGTGTAAAAATATTCAAAAAATCAGTCATATTTATTTTTGTCTTCATTTCGCAAGGTAAAATCAAATAAAAGAGAATAACTTTCCTAACCATTTTTTCCCATGCTCTAGTATTTCCCAGGATCCAAACATAGCCTAAGGAAAACAGTCTAGTAAGGTTTAAATTGAGAATTACTAGGTTTATTACATCAAATCTGACAGTACCCCCAAAAAGGAGCCAAGAAAGACAGCAGCTGCACATCCAAGACACAACCACAACACCATCCCGTCCTTTCTAATTCCATAGTATATCAATTCATTCTCACCAAACACTGACCACAAGCCTTCAATCACTGTAAAAAAAAACTTCATTTTTTCAATAAAAGTGAAAAAAATGAACCAAGCTTAAAATGAACAGCAATAGTTTCTAGAGAATACAAGTATTCCACCCCACATTAATAGCCTGTATGGGATAACTCATGGTCTAAGTGTTTTTTTCAAAAGTATTCTTAAATAATACGGACTATGGAGTAACATGAGAAGTGTTTTTACTGCTAGAAACAATTCTTCCATTTTCCTACCAAATGCCTTCTCTTGAAGTAAGAAGTACCCGCATAAAAAGCTCTCTCATTTATACAAATGACGACCGAGTAAACTGCAAATTCTACCTGAAGTCAGTGAAAACAGGAACAGGAAGCTTCTTTTGGAGCTAGAGAAGGAGGGCGAGTGTGAATGGTCAAATACATTGGATGTTCTGCCATTAGAGTTGGCTGGGAAACAACATATCAACATCAGACATGAAGCAAAGAGGAAGATGTACAGTGCAGGATTTGGGACCCACACATCTGTCGCAACCATCACTCCCATTTGCTCTGTTTGGGTGGGACTTAAATGAGAAAAATGAGAACCTCACAAATCTGTACGCCATATATACATTTTTGCTTCTCAGAAATTTCTGTCCGATCGCATTGAATTCTGAAGAAGAAACTCGATTAAACTGTAAGAGGAAGGCAAATAGGCAGCAATTAGGTCTATGTAACTATGAATTCATAATGCATGTCTCCTGTTAAAAAAAGGAAGAAGAAAAGACAAAGCTTTTAAGTGATGAAACAACAGTAAATGCCTTGAATTAACAGATTCTGGAAAGCAGAACTAAATATAAGATCGAAGCAAGAAGACATGGTAAGAATATCATAGATTTCCAGATCTTATGAAGCCAATAGTGGGCAGAAACCCTAACGAATCGACCCAATTCCTATAATCTGGAAAGTATCCTACAAGATGAATTGGTTTTAGCATCGATTGGATAGAGAGATGAACACGTTTTAAGGCAGAAAGGGACCTGATTAGACAGCCGGAGGTTGGGGCAAAGCAATGACGATGGCACGCCGGGATAGGGTTCAGAGAAGAGGGCTTTTTTCAATTGCCGGAGACCGGCGAGTTCAGTCGGTAGAGTGTAGAAACGGGAGTGGGGTATATTCAGTGATTTTGATAGATTATTTAAAGTGTGAATTATGTAAAATCAATAAATTATTTTAAATCTACGCAAATTTTGGTAGATTTTAATGTAATTTATCAGTAGAATTTTATAGGATTATGTCTAGTTATTTATAATCCATATACTTTTTTTTTTGAATGCTATAATCCATATACTACTTATACATAGATATGAATTATTTTATGGATGTATAGTGTATACATTATTGTAGCATCAAGTAAGGTTCTAGTGCCACTGTAGAACGGTGCCACTAGCGGTGCCACTGCGTTTTTGGGGCATCTCCGGTGCTTCTTTCGTAAAATTAACAGTTCCTACCCCCTAACCCATCCCCTAAATCCCCCACCCCTGTACCCCACTCCAACCCCGCCGTAAGCCCCCACAAAATGTGTGGCTATTATGCATTGCATAGGGGGTGGGTTTAGGGAGTGGGTTAGCGGGGGTGGGAACTGTCAATTTTACGAACGGAGCACCGGAGGTGCTCCAAAAACGCAGTGACACCGGAGTGGCACCGTTCGTTCTCCAGTGGCACTAGAACCGGACCTTCAACTAAATTAGTTTTAAAAAAAAAAAAAAATTATTTTCATACAGATCCATCCACATAAGGCTTAGGTGGTCTGGGCCGTCTGGCCTCCAACATACAGACCTTGCTCATTTAAATGGCCAAATATTGATTTGAACAGAAGCATGGTCCTTATAAGTGATCAACCTGTTTGTGGCGGAGCACTTCCTTGAAATGTAGAGATCCATATTTTTTCCTTTCTCGTTCATGATCTTGGCAAAATTTTCCGAAAAAGAATGCTCAAGTCACTTGTCTTCAAACTGGTGGATGGGAGATGCGAAAGAACGGTGCGGCTCTGCTCCTCCAGTAGTTTTCAAAGGCAAATCTTTAACGTGATAAGAACAACTCTTTTTGACATTTCTTCAAACACATAGAGCGTATAACCATATATCTATCTATTATTTAAAAAGCCATGGATTTCCATTGGTCTTTTCCCGCCCATTTCATGGTGTGGAGAATATGGTAAATCTTCACTCCATATGGTAATTACTAAATGGTAATTAATAGATCATTAAAATAACCGTGTATAAATAACCGTGGTAATTTAATTTAGTTAAGGTAGTAAAACTTTGTACTTTTATTATTATTTAATAGCATGGCACCGTGCTGCTATTTTAAAATTTTAAAATATGGTAATTCTTCACTCCATATGGTAATTACTAAATGGCAATTAATGGATTATTAAAATAACCGTGTATAAATAACCGTGGTAATTTAATTTAGTTAAGGTAGTAAAACTTTGTACTTTTATTATTATTTAATAGCATGGCACCATGCTGCTATTTTAAAATTTTAAAATATGGTAATTTTTCACTCCATATGGTAATTACTAAATGATAATTAATGGATCATTAAAATAACCGTGTATAAATAACAGTGGTAATTTAATTTAGTTAAGGTAATAAAACTTTGTAATTTTATTATTATTTAATAGCATGGCACCGTGCTGTTATTTTAAAATTTTAAAATATATTAAATAAAAACTTTCATGAATTAGGTATATATGGTGTTGCTCTACCCTCTTGAATAATGAAAAGGCAACACAAATTTTTACTATTGAATAATATACACGATATTAATACTAGAAATATTAATACAAGAAATCTATATCTATACTATATTTAAAACAAGGGGAATTTCTAATATAGAAAGGTACAAAAGGTTGTGAGGTACAAAAGGTACAAAAGGTTTTCCCACCCATGGTTGTGAGGTACAAAAGGTAAGTATTGAATATAGAAATGGTAATTTGTCTAATTATGATGTTTGTCTAATATAGAAAAGGTGTTTGTCTAGAGTTTATTTTTGGAAAATATTCAAAATTAAATATTCAAAACTTTGATGACGTATAACAGAAAAGGTATTTAAAGATGTAATTACCATAATAAAGTTTAGTTATATTTACTTAAAAATCCGGAGAAAGGAATGGTATAAAAAAGGTAACGAATGGAAATTTAATAAATAATAAACTTTGAATAAAATGCATAGTAAACTTAAGTTATAAAAACTGTGTATAAAAAAGATAACGAATGCTCAATTAAAAATGGTAATTTAATATAACCGTGTAATTAAAATGGTAACGAATGTTAATTTAATATAAACATGTGTAAAAAAGGTAACGAATGGAAATTTAATTTGATTTAGTTACTGTAATATGGTATTACTCAATTAATTTTACCGTGAATGTAAAATTAGTGTAATTGTGATCAACATATAACCGTGTAATTTAAAATAACCGTGTATAAAAAAGGTATAAAAACCGTGTATAAAAAAGGTAACGAATGCTCAACTAAAAATGGTAATTTAATATAACCGTGTAATTAAAATGGTAAGGAATGGTAATGGTAATTTAATATAAACGTGTTTAAAAAAGGTACGAATGGAAATTTTATTTAATTTAGCTTCTATATTTTTTTATATAAAAACGTATGAAATAAAACATTTATACGAAATAAAATTACAAAGTTTTACTACCTTAACTAAATTAAATTACCACGGTTATTTATACACGGTTATTTTAATGATCCATTAATTACCATTTAGTAATTACCATATGATTCATGATAGTGGTAATTATCAATCATTTGAATTCAGCAAATGGATTGAGAGTATTGGTGACGGGAACGCAGGTGATGATCATGACGGTTATGCTGAGGTGATTATTCCTGATGACATGTTACTTCCGTCTTCTGAAGATCCAATAGCCACTATAGTGAATTCAACTTATCCAGACTTTCAAAAAATAGCCAATGAACTGAGCTACTTGCAGGAGCGCGCAATTTTGGCTCCTACACTGGATGTCGTCGATTCCATAAACGAATATATGACAGCGATGAATCCAAGCAGCGAGACTCGAACATACCTTAGTTCTGATAAAGTTGAGAACTCGGATTGCAGTTCAAGTTTTTTTGGTGACCTACACTCTCCCGAATTCTTAAATAAGATTCGTGCTTCATGTGTACCAAATCACGAATTATCTCTAAAGGTAGGCACGCCTATTATGTTGTTGAGAAATATTGAGCATTCAATGGGTTTATGTAATGGTACACAGTTGATAGTAACCCGGTTGGCTAATCACTCTATACAAGGAAAAATATTATCACGAAGCCACATGCAATGGGTGAAGAAGTTGTTATTTTAAGACTATCATTAACACCGTCCGATACAAGAATTCCCTTCAAGTTTCAAAGAAGACAATTCACTGTGGTTACTTCGTACGCAATGACGATTAACAAGAGCCAGGGACAATCTCTGAAACATGTTGGACTTCTGTTACGGAAACCTGTGTTTAGTCATGGACAGCTCTATATTGCAGTTTCAAGAGTAACTAATCGTAGTGGATTGAAGATTCTGATATGCAATGAAGACAATACTCTCACAAAGACTACACATAATGTAGTATATAAAGAAGTCTTTCGAAATTTGTAAAACATTAATGTTTGAGTAATGCTAGAGTCACAAACAAACAGTTCACAAAATTCACAAACTTGCCTTTTTAGCACTTTCCTAGAAATAAGATGCACTCAAATATTAAAAAAATATTTTAATTTTAATTCCACAAAAGGAAAGTTTGTGAACTTTAAGTTTGTGACTCTAGCATTTTCCTTAATGTTTTGTACTTTGGAATGATATAATCTATATATTCTATTGCAACTCATTTTTTATCATTGAAAAATGATCTGAATTTAATAACATAAAAATGACCCGTGCAACGCACGGGTGTGATACTAGTTAACTTAGAAATCTCTAATTGGAGATAGTGGAGGAGCCAAACAACGATGCAGTGGAGTCATATATATATTATTTAATTAAATTAGTAATGAAAATATGAAAAGAAAATTAATAAAACTTAACCATGTGAATAACAAATACAGAGTAGATAACTTAATCTAATACAATAGCAGTATTAGAAAGAATGAGAAACAAAGTTGTCCACACTTATTTTCCTAAAAGAAAAATTATAGAAGTACAAAATCATTTCGAGAACAAAAAATAATGCATAAAGTTTATTCAAAGATAAGTGAATGCACCAATATTTAAATTATTTTTTAAATTTTACACCAATATTTAAAAGTAAATTAAATTGAAAAATTACCTCAATCGAATATCATAAATTAAAACAGGGCCACAAGAGGTACTCTCAAAATTGCACTTCATTATTAACATTGCAAAAACCTTAGAAATTCATTGTCTTGCGTTGATACAATTAGAAATTGAACGATATTCTGCCACATGGGAGTGAATTTTTATTTTCTTGGGTTTTCCTTCACAAATGTATAGCACATTCCAAATATTATTAAGTACAATTTTTTAATCTCAAGGTAAAACTGTGATAGTGCACAACTCTCACTCAGTCACTTGCACTTATAAGATATAAAACAACATTGAAATGTTCTTAAAAGTGCACAATTGGTAACAAGAGGGGCAAGAAGTTGAAAAAATGGTAATAGTAAAAAGATATTTATTTCATTTGCATTCATACATTGTACAGAGTATCATTGTTATCATACACAGGAAACAAAAATGACTCCATATAGTACAATAGGAATGTGTAGGATTCTTATTCATTATGATTTATGATATGAAATTTCTGATTACATATACGGAGAAGAACAATAACAAATTGACCCTTCCCACCGTACTTCTTGTGAAACGTTACTGGATTTGTTGTTATTCTTATTCTCCATGTATGTAATCAGAAATATCAGATCATGATTCATGAATCAGAAACCTACACACATTCCTATTGTTATATCATAATCCAGCATCCGAAAACTGCAGTTCGCAGATTTAACCATCAATCAATTGTCTAATTCTGCACATCCTAACATCTTTCGAAAATTCTGTAAAGCTTCTCCAGTGAAGTGACCTATAAGAAAAGAAAACGCAATCGGCACTGCTTTAGGGACGGAAGTAGATTTGCACTTTGACAATGTGCAGATTGGTAGTTTTTTTCCTGACCTTTGAGCGCTTTTTAGAGCACTCATAGGGCATCTAAGTATCTAA